AAATATGTATCAAAGAGAATTTATATTCAAAATAAAGAAAATTGTTCATCATAAATTATACCAGATAAATTATAAAATCATAAATATATACATTCTATATTATTAGATTGTCAATTATATACAATTTTTCATCACTTTTTATAATATTTACTTATTTTATTGAATGATCAAGAAATGATGAATAAGTAGTTTTTTTCATGCAAAATGATCGACTGGAAAAATCACGTCAAAAAACGATCGTCTCGAACGTGAAAAAGTTTTCGAGACGTCAATGGAATCGATTGGAATCTCATTTTAGAAATAAAATAATAAAACGTCTTTTATATCTTTGCACATACGAATCTGAAGTATTCTAAGAAGTTAGCATATCTCTAAATAAGTTAGCATAATCTCTATTTCTGAGAAATTGAGAAATGCAGTTAAATTATAATTTCTGTCAAATGATCTATATATTTATATGATATAACTATTTGAAAATTAATATTTATATAATATTTGTATAATTATATTAAGTTTATAATATTTATATGATTTATTTCATGGATTAGCGTATTTATACTGATCTTCTATTTTTAATAATTAAATATTTTTTAAATTTTTTCGATTATTTTATAAATGTGTATCATCAAAATTAAAATTAAAAAGTCCAAGCATTTTGTAAAGTATACAGTAAAATTTTTATTATTCAAATATTATAATATCTGAATGTTTTACTATTCATTCTACTAATCAAATTTTCTATTATCCAAATTATATATATATATTCACGATAATAAACAAAGAAAATAAAATTTAATTTAAAATTGATATTGGATATATTTACTTGTAAATTTAAAATTATAGGTACCTAGTATTATTGAAATGAAATATTTAAAAAAAGAAAGAAAATAGTAATTGGCAAAATTAAGAATAATATTGGGAAATTCACAATTATTAATATTAAAAATTAGAAATATAGATTGAAAAATCATTTGTACATTCCTTTATATACAAAAAAGAATTTGTGCAATTTGACATCTAAAAAATATGAAATTTCTAATTTTATAATAAAAAATTTTTTATATCATTATCTCAATTTTATAAATTGTTTAAAAAAAATTAATTTATAAAATAAAAAATATATTATTTTTTTCGAAGTAGAATAATTCTCAATAATCATTCTTGTTTCTCTTTTTTTTTAAAAGTTATCAAAAAAATTCATTGTGCATTAAAAGATTAATTTTCTATAGTATTTAGATAAAAGAAAAATAATAATATTAATTTCTTTATTAATTTTTTAAAAAAAATTTTAAAAACTATCTTATAGTTACTAGAAGATTAAAAATAGATTTTTAGTTGATTATATTAATATTTTATCTATGTATCATCAAATTATATCACTAGTTGAGAACTATTGTATTATATTATCTCTATTCATTATATTTCACCGATAAAAACGATTTACAAAATCAATCAAGAAAATGGAATTTGCAAAGAATGGTTAACCATAACTTGGAAATTATGGTTATAAAATATTATATTTCCATGTTTGATATTGAATATAAAATACTCAAAAACAGAAGATTTATTATCACCTATCAACAAATAATAAAACAAGCATCGAATAACACTATTATCTTTTTCAATATTTATCAAATATTGAATATAATTGATCAAAGTTATTAATTTTGTATAAATTGTTTTGAAATAAATAAATTGCTTCGGCATAAATATGCAATTTTTTTTAAATAAATAACGAAAATATTTGAAGACAAACGATGTTTGATTATCATAATTAAAATTCTGTTTAATCCTCGAATGAGTTTTGATGCCTTTTTTATTTGACAAACAGTTCATTTTTTGTGAATTTTTTTTAATTGCCATAGAACTTTTACCGAATTTTACAATTTATACAAATAATTCATTCAACATGTTTTAAAAGAAATTAATTGAATTTTCAAACAATTCTTTTTTTTAAATGTCCATATTTTTAATTTTAGATAATTTGTAAATTAAAAATTATAAATTATCGTAACTAAAATATTATGATTTTTGACAATATAAAATTGATTCTTTAACAGTATTCTATTATAACATTCTAATAATTTTATTGTAATTATATAATGTTATATAATATTATTGTAATATAATGTTATGAATTGTATTATTTTTCTAATGATCTAAATCTAAAATTGATCTAAAAATTTTTTTACATATTTAGTACATCTTTCGTAACTACATTTCAATTTTATATACTATATAATGCTCTGTAAATTTGACTAATTATGAAGCCATAAAAGAATATTCAGGAAATGTAATATTTCTATTCTATTTCAGCAATGATTCGTGGAATATTCGAAAATAATATTCGAGAAATATTTTGATTTCTCTAATTTAATTCATTCATACTTCAAACTTTCCAAGCATTTGCTTTTAAATTTTTTTTTTACTTTACATCCACAGATTTATTTAGAAATCGTTTTTCTATTCCATGAGAAAATGATTATAGTAAATATTTTAAGGAATTTTCAAATCATATTATTTTAAAATTATTTAAAAATTAATTAAATTAATTTAAAAATTAAATTTATTTTTACGGATTTAGGTAAAATTTCTTTTATATCAAAATTGCTTCACGGATCATTGATTCAAAATAACCCCTCATAAATTATACTGTCTTTATCTCAATAAATTCTATCTAAAAATATAATATAATTTACTGTAAATAATATGTCGTTTCTTCACTTTGAATTTATATCAATACTATCTATTAAATTTTAGTCTATTGATGATTATTATCAATTACATTATTATCAATTGCAAATACACATACAAAAAAATGTATTACATATATATTGAGAATATATTAACATATATTTAGACGTTATTATTAATTGATAAATGAATATTCATATAATATTTTAAGATTACTGTAAATTTAGAAAATATATATTGTGAAAGATATTGAAAATATAAATTTAGAATTTAGAGAAGATTATGCAAATATTGGAACAGTAATGCTAATTATTCATGAAATTCAAAGCTATCATTAGAAAAGAAATCAAGAGACGCTTTGTACAGAAAGAAAATGAAGAAGAAAATTTCTAGAATTAAAATATTTCTAGAATTAGAATTATTTCTAGAAATAAAAATTTTACCGTATATAAATAGATGTTTTATTTTCTTGATATACATTTGTTTTAAAATTTGCATAATTATATTATTATTATTAAATTATTATACTAAAATGAAGAAATTAAAATGAAAAATAAAAAAAAATAACAATAATTTTTATTTTATAAATAATTTATTTTTAAATAATTGTACATAATTAAATTCAAAATTAAATTTAAATTCATAAATATAATTTAATTTAAACTATATAAATTTACAATTTAATTAAATTTAATATAAATATTATACTGTATATAAATTTCATTAATTTTGATTAGTTAATTCTTACAAATATATGAAAATTATATTTAATATTATTAATGTAATTATTAATTATTACATTATTATTACTTATATTATTATTAATATTTAATGCTATTAATGTAATTATTATAATTATTATTATATTATTATATTGAAATATATTTAATATTATTATTATATTTATTATTTAAATGAAATTTATAAAAAAGTATAAAATATATATGATATTTAAATATATATGATATTTTTGTAAACATTAGTGTGTTGATATATAATTAATATCAACATTAATAGTTTAAATCCTTAATTAATTAATTTATCAATTGAAATTTTAAATAAGAAATTTTTGAAAATATAAATGATTTTTATTAATGTCAACATTAATCATTTTTATAATATTTCTATACTAAATATATGAAAATATATAAATATTTATTACAATATATATAAATATAAATGCACATTTCAATTAATAAGAAAATCCTTAATAAGAAATTTTATTAATATCTCTTTAAACAATAAATTCATATCTTAACTAATGGCAATGATGGCTCAAATTTTCAAATATGAAAATTTATTATTATAAAATTATTTATATTTTAATTCAGTTACTCATATTTCAATGTCTTGTTTCAAAAACGAATATTTCAATCATTTATGAATTTTTTTTTTTTCATAATTTCGAAAGATTATATTAATAATATATATGTAATTATATATATACAACATAATTATTTTAACATAATTTTTTGTTGGTGTAAATTTATTTAATATTTAGAATGTAAAATAAAAATTAAAAATCCATAAGAATCTTCTAAATTTCCTAGATAATAGAATAATAAAATTTTAAAATAATTAATTATTTTATTTATTTCTTTTTATAATTTTATTTATTCATTATTTTATATTATTTTTTATATTTTATATATTTTTAAGTTATTATTAATAATATAATTATCATAATTAATAATGAAATTTTTTTCTCTTTTCTTTATTAAGAAAAATATGTCAACTTTAATTAAAAGAAATATAAGAATTTATTCTTTTATCATAGTAAAATAATGTTTAAACATTAAGATCAAAAATGAAAGTAAATGGTTACAATATAGTTTAAAAGAATTTACTTCGTTACCTTACATATATTTATCTTACATATAATTTACTTCGTTAAATTACATATAATTTATCAATGTCACTTTTGCAAATTCATTGATTTACTATTTTATAAATATATTGAAATACATTTCATGAAAATTTATTCCATATACATAAAAATTTGAAATAATTTTTTTAGTTATAATTATGTTGAATTTTCTGTTAATTTTTTTATTAATTTGAAATTAATACAAATATTAATAGTAAAAATACTCATTTTAATAAATTTTCAAAAAAATTATCTATATAATACTAACTTGTACTAATTTGATTTTTGATTTAATTTAATTTTTAGATTTATGGAATAAATTAATATCTAAATTTTTCTCTAAAAATTCAATAGTGATACATTCTGATAGATCTATTAAAATGCATGAAATGTATTAAAAATTATTATTATAACTGAAAACGATTTGATCGTGTTTCAGTTGCAGTGGTGGTAGCGTTTTTTATCTGTTGGGCGCCATTCCATGCCCAAAGACTATTAGCTGTCTACGCGCAGAACAGTAAGGATAAACCGGAAGATGCATTAGTAATAATCTATACCATCCTCACGTATATGTCGGGAGTGTTTTATTATCTTTCTACGACAGTGAATCCATTGCTGTATAACATCATGTCCAACAAATTTAGAGAGGCTTTCAAGGTAAGTTATCATTTGAGAATTTCTAATCGAAGATTAATGTTAACGATTTCTGTTTTGATCATGAATTTCTTTTTAAGAATAACGAATAATAAATTTATCGTTATATATTTATTGCATACAAATTTCTAATCGAAATTAAATTTATATTTCTATAATGATAATATAATTAAATATTGAAAAATTTATTTAAATTTATTATTGAAAATTTTTTATCGAAGGTTTAAAATTTAAATCTTCCTATTAGCTAATTAACTTTTTGCAATAATATCTAATAAATTTTAATTTTTTATATATTCTTTTTTTATAGAAATGTATAGAAATCAAAATTAAATTCATAATTTTTTTATATTAAAATTAAAATTAATTATTAATTTATTATATTATTCATATTTTTTTTATAATTATATATATATAATTATTAGTAATAATTTAAATTTAATACTCTTTTAAAATATTACAATAACAAAATGATATACATAATTGCAATTAAATGAAATTTACAAATATTAATTTTAGAATCAATATAAATTTAATATATTTAAATATTTCAGCAATATTTTAAAATAAATTCTTATTAAATTATGTTTCCATTTCTTTTATGTTTTCATTTGAGAATTTCTTATAGCTTTTAAAAATTATATATACTTAAATAATTCTATCGCTTATTTGAAAATAAAAGTAATTCTCAAGTGGATAATACATGATTTGAAAATATTCTTCAAAATAAGTTAGAAAAAGTCTGAAAAAACTTTCAAATAATATTTTAATTTTAAAACAAAAAATAAAAAAAAACTCGAATCCAACAAAGTGTATTAAATAAATTAAAATTAACTTTCAGTCAATGCTGCCGAATTGCTGTGTAAAATGGTCATCTCAAAAATCAGAGTCACGACGGCCTATCTACAGTAGTTTATCACGTTACCCGAGATCCACATTTAGACAAACAGATGATCGTCAAAATTTACCGTCAATATCCGTCAGTGATGATAATCAAAAGTTGACAAACATCATACGAATATCGAACATAACTGAGTATAACGGATTAACCGAACTGAACAATGAGCGAAAATTGCCTGATTCGACGATGAACAATATCAATAATCGAGAATACAAAAGAAGCGTGTCGAGAGGATCGAATTCCAATCAATTCATTTTGATGACGACTGTTAATGAGGGTAACAACAATATGGTTCCCACTTATACGAACGAGTGTCTATTAAACATTCAGAAACCTTCAAGGACTCTTACGCTTGGCAAGTGAATGAATTTTTATTTTATTTTTTAAATTTGTTAATTTTATGGATGGAATTAAAAGTATATATTTACAAAAGGTATTTTGTAAATTAATCGTTATTAATTGCCAATCTTAATACTGTTGTGAAAATTTTCTTCGATTATTTATTAACAAAAATAATTCAAATAAAGTTAGATTAGGTTAAATTATTGTTTATTAATCCTAATCCAATGTAAATCATGAAATCAATTAAATTATTCAATTAAAAATTAATTAATTCAATTAAAAATAAACAAAAAATTTTAAATCTTGATATCAATTAATTCTAAGTTTAATTTTATTTCAAATAAAAATTCATTTAAACCGATTTAATACATATTATATCAATATTTAATTTTTCCATTGAGTTTGAGCTAGTTTTCTTAATCTGATTGTTATGAGGCCATCAATTATTTATAGTAAAAAATTAAAATTAATTTGATTTAACTTAATTTAAATTGTTTCGAACATTTTTGTTAATAACATTTTAATGAAACAAAAACAATTTTTAGTAAAGATTTTAATATATTAAAAAGTCATTAAAATTGGAGAATGATTTTTATATAAATAATTAATATATTGATTTTTATATAAATAATTAATGACTTTATAATGACAATGATTTTTATATAAATAATTAATAAATAAATAATTATCGGAATTAATTTTAATATGTTCATTTAATTTTTTTTATATTATCTATATACTCAATTATAATATCTCTTATACTCTTATACTCTTATACTCTATATATATACTCTATATACTCTATACTACTTATAATATACTCAAATATATATACTCAATTTAAATATAAAAATTTCATCTCATGAAATTCCATTATTAAAAGAAAATATTTATAATTAAATTTATAATTAAAAGGATTATAGAAGCAGAATTTAAAAACTAAAATAAGTGTATGAAAATATACGATAGTATATTTACGATATACGATAGTATATGCGATAATAATCAAATATTATTTTATATAAAATTTATTTAGTCCGCGAATTCTAACTTTAAAAACGTTCATATATGTAGAGTACAATATATATATATGAAATATATATGAAATATATATATATATATATATATATATGAAATATATATATGAAAAAATTTTTTTTAGCGGAAAATCTTTTTCGGGAAGATAAAATTCTGAACTTTCATGTTTTTAATACAATTTAATTTTTGAAAATATTTTTTATAATAGAATAGAATGCTAAAATTTGAATTTTATATATATTTAAAATTTTAATTATAAATTCATATTTTAGAAAAACATTAAAACTTTAAAGATTCATTTTTTTTCAAAATGATCAATTAGTTCAAAATAATTTCGATATTTGTTTAGTTTTTTTTTGTTGTATAATTTAAAAATATTAATAATATTATAATAATAAATTCAGAAATTAAATCTAACAACATTTTTATTTTTAACATATTAATATTAACTCATATTATTAATATTTTTATTTATATTGAGAATTTAAATATTTTCCTGAACTATTATAAGTTTTTTTTGTATAATTTTTGTATAATTTTAAATTATAATTATATAATTTGTTAACATTTTAAAAATTTGAAAAATTTAAAACGTTCCTAAAGATCAAAAAAATTTGTAAATTTTAAATTATTTCTTCTTATATTTTTTTTTTAAATATACATTCTAATGTTAATAATTATAATATATAATATGTAATATATAATATTTATATTTGATAATAAAATTATTATGGAAAGAAATATAACAGAAATTTATTATTTATTTATTTTTAGTAGAAGAAATTTAAAAATAGAATATCAATTTACATAATTTTAATAATAATAATTTTTCAAACTCAAAATTTAAAAATGTATCAAATATTTATATACGGATATGATCTTATATATTATCATATTAATTTCTTTTTAATGTTTTAATTTAATTTGTTTAATATTTACAATTAAGTTAACTCTACAATTCCATTAACTCCATTAATAAAAATTAATAAAATATTTTCAAAGTCCAAAAATATTTAAAAAGATATTTAAAAAAATATTTATTTATTATTATTTAAGAGTTAAATAAAAATTATTTATTTTTTAATTTATTATTTAATTATTGTTTTATTTATTATTAAGATATTGTTAAGATAATAATTAAAATAATTGTTTAGTTTTAGTAATTATTAAATTAAGTCTAAAAAATAATTATTAAATATTATAATAAAAAAGTATTTTCACATATACATATAGTATATGTATATATAGTATATATATAGTACATATAAATAGCACTTTCTGTATGCTATTCTTATTATTTTAATAATTTACATAGAGAAAAATTTATTTGTTGGGTGGAGAAGATGATTTGATGATGATTTTTTAAAAATGATGTTTTTTAAAAAGTCCTTGAAATGGATCGTAAATTGCTTATAGAAGCATTAAATAGTTACATAGTTATAAATATTTATAAGCAATACAAGTTTAAAAATTAATAAAATTTAAAAGTAAAATTATAATCATTTGACTAATGATTATCTCAATTATATGTAAAAATTTTCAATATATGGAAAAGATCAATAAGTACTTCATGATATTTATTTCATTATTTATTTATGTAAATATTAATAATAATTAATCAACATATTTTGATATTTATATGAATTTTTAATTAATATTAATATAATTAATAAATATAATAAAACTAATTACTTAATATTTTTCTTGCATGCATAATATTTTAAAAATCACGTATTTGATATATTATATAATTTATTGAAATATATTGTAATAAATATTATAGCAAATAACACTTATAATTATACTTAAAATTAAGTTCATTAAAAATAAAAAATTTTTCCACATTAAAAATCAATTTTCAATAAAAGTTTCAATCACAGGAAAATTTTTGATCTGCAATGATAAATTAATAATTTTATAAATTATAATTAATCAATATTCTTTTTTCAAATAGGAATACTTGCCGAAAAATTGAGATTGGAAACAAAAGAATTATTTTCACCTCAGCAGAAAACTAAGAGTAATCTGATGAAATTGGAGACAACGCCAGCTATGAGCTCATCTAGATTTCAAAGTCACCCAAGTATCGATAGTGCAAATACTATCAGCAATTCCAGTTTACAAGATTATGATAAAACAGAGTTCAGTGGCATGGAATTGGCACGATATATGGGTGAATTAAACTGTGATTTAATCGCTTAATATTCACTTCAAAATGAAATGTTCCTTCATCGAATAAACGTAGCATAAGTATTTAATATAATTAAGAATCGTTTTTAATATAATTAAAAATCGTACCAAATATCTCGAAAAAACTAAGAATTTATAAAGTTAAGAATCTTAGATATAAAAATTTATATATTCAAAAAAAAAGAAAATAAATAAAAAAAAAAATAAAGAAAATTGGAAAATTCAAATCAAAGAAAAAATATTCATCTTTCAAAAAAAAATGTATTTATTTTTCTTATAATATATTATTATTAAACAACAGGGAATCTATAAATAAAATAATATAAATAATATTAAATAATTAAAATATAAAGATTTCCAATATATAAGATAAAATAAGACACCTAAAACAAATCATTTGAACATCTTGACAGTTATTGTTAATAGAAAAAAATATATAGCATTCAATATCATACAAGTTTGATCTGAAATATCTTTTGGATCAGGAATAGTCGAAATATTCAGACCTATTTTATCTTACACATCTTGTATAAAATTGTTCACATTAAAAAAGAAAAAAAGACATATTTAGCAAAATTCAATATTAATTGAAATAAATCTTTATATTATTTATTTAAGCTATTGTAATTATTAATATCTTTTTGATGTATGTGTAAAAAATTAAATAATTATGATAAGAAAATTACTAGAAACGATTATCTAGATATAAGAACAAATAAAATTCGAATAATATTATAAATACATAATAATTTCAATTTAATTTGAAAATTAACTAAAAATTAATTGAGATAACGATATACTGATTAAAATTATTTGAAAATCATCAAAGATTGAAAATATCTTTTTAATGGTTGAGATTATTCTAAAGTCAATCAAATTTTATCATTGGCAAAGAAAATCATCTCAAAAATATAGTGTAATTAACATTCTAATTCTATAAAATATCTGTAGATCTATAATAAATTATCTCAATCTGTCAAGATAATCGATAATCAAAATTATTAAACATGCTTAAAATAATGTTTTTTTTCAAGGAAAATTATTTCAAGATCTTAAATGAATGAATAATATATAATTCTGATCTGAATAATTATTATGCGTTCGTTCATTATGAAGTTCATTCGAAGATAATGAAGATTTTTGAGGTTATGTTAACGGAAGAATATTTCAAGAACATTTTATTTAAACGATGCTATATATTTTCTGCAAATAGATTGTTTAGAATTTATCAAAATAAACGAATACCTCAAATGCAACAGCGTGAGTGTGATTAATTGTGATAATAATGTAAAAAAAATATAATAATAATATTATCATTATATTGATAATTTTTATTTAAATGATAATTCTTTATTTTTGAAAGATAATTTATGTATTTTTATAATAAACAGTACTATTCATGATTATCCATTGAATTAATGAATATGGTGAATTACGATTCACCAATGAATTTAAAAAATTGAAAGAAAAATAATATATTATAAAACTGGAAAAAATTTATTAAAAATAATTTTGAATGCTATTGTCAATAAATCAATAAATTGCTATCTTTACATTCCGTACTCTTTTCACAAAAATTTTTCATACACCTCAAGAATTCGAATTTAAAAAAAATTCTTTAAATATGTATAAATCTTATTTATTTTTATACTTGCATAATACATGACAAGTATATGTAAAATTGTGTATTTACTTTATCTATATTTACGAAAATATAAAGCAAAATTTGTATCAAACGCGATTTAATGTAAAATATATGCAAATAACTTATAAAGAAAATAAATCAATCAATGAATCCTGGCGAGTTCTTAAGAATACCATAATTTAATTATAATTTTTTCATATATATAATATATGCAATAATATATGCAAAAAATTATAACGTTTTAAGGTATGACCATAGGTTTGGGTCGATTCTTCAAATATGTTTTGATGTTAGGTAATGATTTTACTTTCTCAGACAATTTCTTCAATTCAGGATGGTCCTTATTCAAATCATATCCAAGCATGTCGGTCAAAGATTCCTCTATTGCTGTGTAGAAAAGATCTGCCCATGTCAACTATAACGAGAATTCACAGTTTAAAAGAGAATTTTTATTAAAAATAGAAAATAATTATTTCTTTATTCTCAAATCATATGTCAGAAAATAAATGGAATCTCAGTGGAAAAATGACACAAGTGCTTTTTTTCAAGATCAAGCACAAAAATAAATATAGGAAACCGTATTATTCATTTAAAAAATTGTATTAATTAAATATATAATATAATATTTAAATATTGTATATTTTAATGTATGGAAACATACATAAAAACATATATTTTTTTATTCAAATTTATAATTTTACTCGTAATTTTATCAAATTGAAAATTGTTCTATTTGTTTCATTTTCTTTAGATTCTCATATATTTACATTGTTATTGAAATTTTGTTTAATTACATAACTTCATTTAACAATTTAATTTACAATTATTTTACAATATATTATTAATTATAAGTATTATATATAAAATTTAAAATTATTTAATTTATTAATCATATTTAATTTCATTTTTTAGATTTTTACCTTGGATTAATTTTATATATAATATATTAATTATATATAATTTATAAATTGTATAAATAAAAAAAATTACCTTTCCATTAACAAAGTACCCTTTATTCTTCTTTACTTGTTCTTCCAATTTGTTGAGAAGCAAGGGAACTTTGGTATCAACATTGGTTTTCAATTTTGCCTTGAACGCAAGATCCTTTTCCCAATAATGTTGAGTAATTGCTACAAATTATCATAATGGTTATATAATATTACATATTATCGATATAGTTTATTTTTAATTTTCTTGGGATTTACTAACAAATTAATAGATTAAAAAATAATTTTTCTATTAAACTTTCATCTGAAATTCTTTATTTTTCTTTTTATTTTTAAAATAAATGAAGATCTTACGTTGTCTTAAATCGTCTATAGTCTCAACGGTAGCATCAACAAGGAAAGCTTCTTCATCATTGGAACCGTAAAAATTATTTCTCTTAGCGATCAAGCGAGAAATAGCCTTCGATTGATAATAAACTTTACCATCGATTTCCAAAATAGGTACTTGTCCAAGTGGCATTTCTAAAAAAATTTATAATAATTAATAAAGTAATAATAGATTATTATATAAAATATAATAATGTATACGCTATTAGAAATTATACAAATTGAAATTAATTAATGAATTATTATATAAAATCGTATACATTATATAAAATAATATACAACTTAAAATTATAGTATATAACTTGAAATTAAAAAAATTAAATCATAAAAAAAGTTATTTATTGTTAATTTATTTTTTATATAAATTAAATGTCAGTTTACCAGATTTAATCTTGGGCCATTCTTCGGTATCAATTCTTTTATCTTCAAATTTAATTCCACTTTGATGAAGAAGGAATCTAATTGGTTCGGCAAGACCAGGAATATTGAAATAAATCAATTTATACGTGGACATTTTCTGTAATTAAAGAAATATATTGTACATTGTATATAAATATAAATATAAATTAAATATAGTATGTATAAATATAAATATATTATATATATTAATATTCTATTCTATTATAAATTTCCTATTGCTATTTTCTTTTTTTTTTTACCTTTAAATTTATACATAATTTATACATAATTTTAAAAAATTAGAAATATTTATAAAATAATTTCATTGATGAAATTTATTGATATATTTATTGATAGTTGTGATATATTATAATAGAAATCAATTTTAGAAAATTATTGATAATTAATAAATTAATAATATTGTTGAATATGGAATTACTAATTAATATAATACAATACAAATTTCAGAGAATTAAACAATTTTATCTTAATAATATCATTATCATAATATAATGAGTTACAGTATTATTATATGCTTCTTATTTTTATGATAATATTTCGCATAAAATAAATCAAGTTATTATAAATTGCGCAATATGACAAAATAACACTAGTTATATATTATTAATATACGTATATACATAATAAATACGTAATAAAAAAATAAATAGAAGAATAAATAGAAATAGAAAAAGTAGTATGATAATTTAGTAGTATAGATTTTGTAAAAATTCTTAATTTTATTTACACTTTGATTATGCAATTATTTTTAGAATTCGATCATATACTATGCAATTTTCATTAATTTAAAGAATCTAATGAATTAATAAATTATTGATTGTAAAAATATTTTCGAATATTTAAAAATATGAAAATTTGAAAAAATTTAATTAAAAAATATAAAAAATCTATAGATTTAAAAATTTGAAGTTTGAAAAGCTTAAAAATTGCATAAATTGAAAATTTATATAATAATATAAATAATATAATTTGAAAATTTGGAAACTTATAAAGCTAAAATTGTAAATTAAAAAATAAAGCTAAAAATTTAAAAATAGATTAAAAAATTCAAAATTAAAAATTCAGAACTTAAATAAATTAAAAATTCGAAAATTTGTTAATTTAAAGATCGGTAAGTTTGTAGATTTAAATATTCGAAAATATATAAATTCAAATACTCAAAAATTTAATAATTAGAAAATTTAAAAATTGAAAATTCAAATTAAATTTCAGAAAAAAAGAAGAAAACAGTAAAATCGAATAAAGCTCATGTTCAAGGTTATGCAAATAAGTTAATGCCAAATATTATCAATTACCTATTACTAATAGAAACCAACTGTTTAATTAACTATTCGTATGCTTAATATCAGAACAACATTCAAGAATGTTCCAAACGAAACTTGTTAGCTTCAGCGGTAATTTTCAATTCAGTTGTTACGTAGAATTTCATATTTCGCATTAAAGATGATTAATACCAAGGTTCTAATATTGACTCTGTTAATCATATAGATAATAGATAGTAACTATTTTGATAAAAAGATTCACCTTATTACACTGATACCATTGTTATATAATATTGTTACAATATATTATAATAAAATGAAATGAAAATCAAATAAGAATATATATATTAGTTAATATTTTTTTATCATAAATGTTATAAAGTGAAATAATTAAAACATTTTTGCATATTTTATTTTAACAAATATTATTTTGCTATTTTTAAAATTATAAAAAGAATTGTAAAAATCTGAAAAATTAAAAAAAAACATTATAAAATAAAGATTTTAAGAAAATATTGAAGTAAAAGTTTTAAGCAATATATTAAAATTTAAAGAAAATTTTATTAAGTGAAAAATAATAAAATAGAAATTTAATAAAATTTTAATGAATTTACAAAAATTTATATTGTAAACTATCAACGCACTAGAAAAAATTATAAAAATTTCCAAAAAGATTACAAAAATAATTACACAAAATTTTATTTAATTTTATTTAATTTTATTTCTTATTAATAATAAAAAATAATTTTTTTTTAAATAATAGAATTTTAATGAACTTACGAAGATATGCGTGGAACGTATTGATGTAACAAACAAGACAGTCTTTCACAGACTACTGCTTTTATATTACTAACGATGTTTTATATATCTAGACTTGCCTATAGCTTTTGCACTAATCGAGTATCTGATTCCCCCACTAAACTCATTCATATTGAAGTGACAAACCACAACAGTATATATGCTAGAATCAACTAGTAGAATTCTTTAATAGAATAATATCCTTTGTAGTAATTTTATTAATAAATAAATTACTTCGTAACGAGTATTATAAAAAAATTCTATGAACTAAAAGATCTTTTTGGGATATTGAATTGATTTGTGATATGATTAGTAATATTTATTATAATTATATTATTTAATAGTCTATAAAGTCAATCATTGTTTTAAAAAAATAAATATTTTATTTCTCGATATATTATTTCTCCTCTGCTATAAAATTTAGACAAAGTAAAATATAATTTAACTACTATTTTAAAAGAAATTATGTTATGTTAAAATAGTTGATATTATATTACAAATCGAAAATATATTTTTTAATGGAAAATTAAAAATTATTCCTTTATGTAAAATTGGATAATAAATAATAAAATTTATAAAAATTTGATGCTTTATAAGCTAATTTAATCATGTTAAATTGTTTATGATGATGAATATTTTATAAGATTCTGCAAGTCATGATTTGATAGGATATAAAAATAGAAATTCATGATATTACATTACATTATGACATAGTAAAAATTAAAAAAAAATAAATATTTTTAAAAAATTATTTTATTTTATAATAATTATAAAATATATTTATAATAAATAAAACTTGTGAAATTTATATAAATTTTTTTAAAAAGTTATAAAATATTCTGATATAAGTTAAATCAATAAGCCAATAAAAAATTTTGAGCAATCATTTCCTTAATAACAATATCCAATTTTGACTTTATCATTTTGTTATAATATTTGAAGTTATCTATACATATATATTAAGTATTATGTACTTAAACTTTTATACTTTATATATCAATATGAATCAAAATAAGTCAACTCTAAGCAAATATTATAATAACAAATATCGCAAAAATATTATTCAATATCAATTGTACAATTTTGTAAATCAGTGTTGAAACTTAAATAATTCAAGAATTATTCGATGCACTAACGAATCATTACAAGATTGAGATTTTGTAAGAAACATGAAAAGACATATTTAAAAAAATAAAAAATTATTAATTTTTTTAATTTCTAAAAACAATTGAATAAAATGTGCTATAAATAATGAAAAAATAATCTCTATTTTTAGAAGAAAGTACAAAATAATAAAATATTTTCAAATTTTTATGATAATAATATTTATGAAAAAAATCATTTATAAAGAAATAAATTGTAAAAATTTTTCGAATTAATTCATTTGAATTTGATATTCTAATTTTAATTATTTTTAATTATTTAATTATATTTTTCAATTATTAATCATTAATTTATAATTATTAAATTCATAAATTTCATTTTTTTTCTGTGTACGAATCTTGAGTTTGATAAAATAAAATTCAAATATTAAAATTTGATATTTCCAATATCAATTATGCTTAGTTTTTTCATTGAAAATTGTGTGGATAATTGTTTTGATTTTTGTTGTAGATATCAATATAAAGAATTATTAATTAATTAAATTTACCAAAATAAAATTGAAATTATTATTATTATTCTTTAATAAAGATTTAGGGAAAATTAAGAAATTCGATCGATTTATAATTTAGATTAGTGACTTTTGTTATATATATTAAATATATTAAATATATTAAATATATATTGTTATATATATAATATTTGATCCATAAAATTTAAAAAAAATAAAATGTTATAGACATAAATAAAAAAAACAAAAACGAGATTGATTATGCGCAAATTGTATTTAAAAATATGCATACGAATTTTTAGATTTAATTTTCTTGAAAATATAAAAAAAGATTTTATTTTACATTTACGATTCATTTTTATCTATATCTATATCTATATCTATATCGTGACTTTCAAATATCTCTACATATAGCAAGAATATGAAAAGAACTTAACTTTTCTATTAAGATAAATAGAATGAATTAGAAAATCTATCTTTTTTCAATGTGCAAATAATGTTCTAAGAATCAGAACTAATTTTTTTTTTTTGTAATTTGTAGCTAACAATAAGTCTAACAAATTATTTTAAATATGATTCTATTTTATTTGTTATAAATAAGTTCTCCTATGAGATTAAGTCTGTACTCAATTCAAATGATATTTAAAAAACAATAATTGTTTTGATAAAAAATTTGTTTTTATACGAATTAATTATATAAATTAATTTATATTTAAATAGATAACATTCAAGTTTAATTGTATCTTTTTTAAAGGAAAATTCTCTATATTTAAAAAAAAAGTATTGTATGTATATTTTTTATCAACTCTTAATATTTTTTTTAGATTTGACATTTTTATACACAATACGATATTAAAATAAGAAAATAGGATTTTATATTTCGAATTTAAGAAAAAAAATACAATAATTTTTTTATTACATATTAAACTTCGTAATGTATAATAATTTCTTTATTATTTATATTATTTGTAATACAAAAGCATATGGTTTAAACAGTTTATAATGTATTTCTGTAAGCATACAAATATATATTTCTTTATTGTAATGGATCAACCACTTATTAACGATGCGATCTAAAAAAAAAAAGCTTTAATTAACTGACAAAAATGTTGCTTATAACTGAAACTAAGCTGTTAAAAGCATCTTTATATATTCCATACAAGAATTAACATTTTTATGAAAGCAATTGAAGCGATCCATTTTTTTAAAGTATTTAGATCGCAAACTTAAAATGTTTATAGAACAGAAAATAATCAAGAAATGAAAAATTTAGAAATCAGAATGTGGACGCTTATCAAGCCAACTTTTAATAGCAGGTAAATTGAGAACTTTTTCTTTCAATTGCTTCAGATTGTCATATTTCTCGATGAGATCGGATCCATTCATGAAATTTAAATAGTCGAGCAAAGCAACAAATGATAAATCAGCCCAAGAAAGAGCACCCCCAACAAAGTAGCCACCATTATTCTTCACTTGAGCATCTAAACGTTCCAGATAATATGGTACTACTTCATCAGCAATCTTGCGTTTCGCAGCTTTAATTTCCTCATTTTCTTCATAGTGGAAGGCAGCAAGTCCTAAAATTTAAAAAATTTAGTAATTATTTTCATACAGCATACAGTATATAAAATTTAAATTGTAATTGAATTTCAATTAATTTCAATTAATTGAACAAATATTTTTTATTAATACTTACTTGCACGAACATCATGAATAGTATCAACAATACTATCAATTTCTAAAGCTTCCCAATCATCCTTTCCTGCTAAACCAGATTTTTTTGCCAAATAACGAGAAATAGCTACTGACTGAGCTACTTTTTTCCCATCAACATCAAGTACAGGAACTTGGCCAAAAGGAGTAGCTAAAAAATAAATAAATGAAGTGAAATATTTTATTTAATAATTATTTTAATTTTTCAAATTTATTTATAAAATTAAAAACTATCAATTGATTCAAGAAATTCATTTTCTGTTTTATTAAATTATTTTAAAATATTATTATATAATTATTATAAAATATTTAAATATCTAATAGTTGTCTGTTATCATTTGCTTTAGAGAAGCAATTTTAGTTTATTGACAATTTATCAATGAACAAAGGGTATTGTCTCCTTAACAATGCCCATTGTTGTCAAAGGTATCTTATAGAGTAATAAAAAAAGTAAACAAAATCTGTATTACATCTTTCATATTATTTAATAAATCACAAAAAATAATGATTAAAAAAGCATGAATTTACTTAAATTTTAAACTTACTAGGCTTTATCTTTGGCCAGTCATCTCTATCAAAACGCTCATCTTCAAATGAAATTCCAGCATAGCTTAAGAGAAAACGAATTGGTTCACCCAATCCTTTAACTGGGAAGTAAGTCAATTTGTACGTAGACATTTTGCTATAAGGATAAATTATATAAAGTCAAAAAGTCAAATAAAAGAATCATTTATAGAAAAAAGAAAAAAAAGAAATAGAGGAAATTAACAAATATACATAAAAAAAGACAGATTATATTATATAGGAATATAATATAGGAAATTTTAATCTTAAAAGATAAAATAATAACTAATAATTTCAAATCTTTATGATACATATAGAAAAATCAGTTTAATTTTTTTATAAATAAAATATTTTTATACTTTATATATTAATTTTTTATTTATTCTTTTATTTTTATTCATTCTTATTCATTCAAATATAATTTGGATATAAAAAAATTTTCGAATAGAAAAATTTATATCAAAATATTTTATAAATATTTTTATGAATAAATCAATACAATGAATAATAATATGAATAAAAATGAATAAAATAAATGAATAAAAATACAATATTACCGGCCTATTCTATCACTAACCATTTATGTCAATAACCAAACTTATAATCATAAATTTATAATCAACGAATTCATACAACTGATATTTTCAAAATGTCAGTTATATTCATGGACTAATTTTCTACTATTACTTGAATATATATATATATATACACATATATATAGATCTACAATACTCAAGCTCCCTCAATAGTAATTTAGTACTATTCTTAGTCAAATAAATTTTCGTAATCACAAAACATTTAAAATTGTTTTTTCAATGATATATTTTCAGTGATACATTTTTTAAAAACATACTAAAATCTACATACAATTTCACTTACACATTAAACTTTAATAACATTTATTTTTTTCAATAATTTTTAATTATCTCTTAACCGGCAAAAATATATTGAAAACTTTTAGTAATCACATAGACTTTAATTCTGAATCATAAAAAAAAATATGTAAAAATATATAATATAAACATTTTAAAAAAACATTCTAATTTATATTATTTGCTATTTACTTACAATTTCTAATGAGATTCGTAAAACGAAATAACAGCAGGACTCTTCCGAGCCAGTCAACGGAAAGCTAAGTATTATGACGAAATCAAATCTTCAAACACCTATATAGTCTCTCCTATCGCACCTACATACCACTAACATCTTATTGGTGGAGCTACGATGAATGTCCAATGACACTCCATTTAGAAACATCCAGAAAGATTAAATTGAAATTGAAAACATTATGCTTTAACGTTAATAAATTTTGTTAAATAAAAATTGAAATTTTTTGTTATTCGTGAAAATATAAAATATTCAATAAAATATCATAAAAGCAAAATATTAAAAAAGAAAAATTTATAAATATGAACAGCGCCATCAAATAAAACGACAAACTATACAAGATAGTAAAGCGCGAAGTTTGAAATAATATAAAATGATAATTTCTAAATATTATAATTAAATGATATGAAATTTGCAATTATCGAATGTAAAAAAAAGAAAAAAAACAATATGGTAATAGAAAAATATATAAATTTGAAGATCGGGAAACAAAAAAACAATATAAACTTGTTATTCGATTTTTATTAACATATATAAAATAAAATATTTCATTTTTAATATTAATTTAGATGATTAAAATAATAATAATGTCATATAAAAGTTAATATTTTTATCAATCATAATCATATTTATATGGCATTGGTTAAATGTTTCTTATCATGATCGCTCTCTTATCGGCAGTGGTTAAGTATACTTCTGTCGATAAGTAAAATTAGAAAATTACTCATACAGAATATAATATATATTATGTGTATTATATTTGAAGTAATATTTTACAAATATAACAGAAAAATATAACGGAAAAATATAAATATAATTATGTAACAAAAAAATATAAAAAATTTTTCAAATGATATACATATATATAATGAAATGAAATTATTACATTGCAATATTGAAATTATTATTATTAAAATATTAGAAATTAGTGAAGAAAATAATGTAAAACTGCTCGTTTTTTTATATGAGATTATTATTTCATTGCATCATTCCAAAGTTTTGCAATTACGATTCAATACATATTTGTTTTTTAATGTTTAATTCATAACATTTAATTAGAATCTTGCATTAATTAAAGATATTACAACATTAAAAAATCAATTTTTTATTTTAAAATTTTTTTTTCACTTCAGTTCATTTCATTGCCTATAAATTATATTGTATGAATACAACTAAAATAATTTACATTCATTAATTTAAAATTTTTATTTTTGAAAAGATATTATTTTTGCACTCAGATAATTTTGGTAAATAGATCACGAAGAAATAAAAAAAATATCTCGATATAAGTATTATTTAAAAAGTGGCAAGGTAATAGATATGTAAATTAGAAATAATACAAAACAAAAAATAATATGTTTTTTTTAATATATTGTTTTTAATTGTTGTTTTTAATTGTTGTTTTTAATTTTTGAGCAAAGACAGCTTATCTTTTTTTTTTTATGTAAATGATATTTTAAAGTTATTTTATATATTTCTTTTTAATATTAAAATTTTATCGTGATAGATATGATATAAGAAAATCTATATTCCATGACTTTAAAATATATAATTTGAAATAACATATAAATAAAATAGAGGTTGTTTGAATGAACAAGAAATATGATATAATTATATACTTTATTTACAACTTATATATATATATATATATATATACATAAAGAACACAAATTTCTGTTCTAATATTAAATAATATAATATAATTTTTATCTTGAGATATTTTATATTATATACATGCATTTATTATTTATGTTTTTTACCTTACTTTAAATGTAATAATTTTTACAAAGAAATAAAAATTATGAAATTCTAGTTAAATTTTCAGTGTAGATAAACGATTTTGTTAGTAAACTTGTTAAAGGTATTTGTAATTTTTTGTTGACTAACACAATAATACTTGACGAAACATATACACAAAATATACATAGACATGTTATCATTCACCATTTTCCTCGCGTAATTTCAAACATTTTTAAAATTCCGTGTGTGGTCGTTTAGATAGCCAACTAACAATACTAGGTATTTCGTGAACTCTCTTTTTCAATGCACGAAGACCTGGATAATTTTCTAAAGCCATTGTTCCAAAAATATTCTCGAAATTTTCAAGAGCTACTGCGAAAACAAAATCTGCCCATGTCGTCTGGAAAATAATTAAAAAACAATTTACATATATTTTAGATAAATATTTCTTTAATTTTAAAGTTTTTAGAAGTTTCAATTTGTATTTCAATTCGTTTCGATTCAATAATTTATTTTGGATATTTTTTTTAATTTATAAAGTAAATATATTTTATATTAAAATGATTTATTGTAAATTTTATATTATATCATTTTATATTAAAATGATTATATTGTGAGGATAGGACTTTAATTGCTTTGAATAATTTGATAGAAAAAATTTATACATGAAATTATGTAATTCCTTATTTTTTATCTTAAATTGTACTAATAATAATTTTCAAGATATGTTTTTTCATTAAAAGAAGGCAATAAATTAATTTAATTTTTATAGATAGAATTAATATAAATAACATTTTGTAAAATGTTATTTATATTAAGAAATTATAAATTATATATATAAAATAAAATATTTTAATTTTAATTAATCTCGTGAAATGATATTAGTAAATAATAGATATTCTTCATTTAATGGTTATATTTATTCAACAAAATAATATTTCGAAAGTAAGAGTCAAAAAGTTATCTATATTCATAATATTAATTTTAAAAATATTAACTTTGATATCATTTGTGATGTTAATTTTGAAGTTTTAAGATAAAAATAATGCACGAATCGAATTTACATTAAGATTATTAAGATATTAAGATATTAAGATATCAAATATTAAGATTTATTTAAAATATATATTAAAATATATATTATTATTAAAATATATTATTTAAAATATTAATAAGATTATTAAAATATTAATAGATATTATTAGATTATTAAAATATTAATAAATATTATTATAATTTAAAAGCGATTTATTTAAAAGATACATATATTCGTGAATTAAAATTTTTTTCTTCGTGTCAATAACATTTCAGAAATTTTATATCAAATTTTCTTCAATATGTTTTTCAATATGTCCTATGGAATTTTTTGACACACACTGATTTTAATATAAAAAATTTTAATATCAAATCTAAATAATGACTTACGGTCGTGCCAACGGTGTAACCTCCATTTTCACTAATAATATGTTCAAACTTGTTCAAATAAAATGGTATTGTTTCCTTCAGCAATTTCACCTTTTTCTCCTCTTTTTTGAAGAGATCTTCCTCGGTACGATATTGAGATATAACTGAAACGAATATGAAAATAATTATTATCGTTTATTTGTCTCTTCTCATATAGACGAAGAGGGAAAAAAGAAAAAATGCAAAATTGTGAAAAAAGAAAAATGATTTCGTGTACGTTTTACTATTTCCTGTTTTTCGCCATTTTCTTTAACTTTGCTTCTACATGTTTCTATATTTTATAAAATATTTCATAAAATGTAAGTAATGTTTCATTACTGTGAAGGAATTTGAAAAATCTTTCAAAATCATTATTATGATTACAATTATCAAGAGAAATAGAAAATACAAAATTCCTTCAGTTTCATTTAAAAGTTTATTTTTTTTAATTAAATAATTTATTATCTATATTTACAATAAATAATTTATTAAGTTATTTAATAAAATTATCAGGATTAAATAAAAAAAGAGATTATGAATAAAGAAATCTTTGAATAATTAATAAATTTTAGAAGACTTATAAAAAACAAAATTATGAAAATATTAAAAAAAATTTATTAATATTAAAAAAATGGAAAAACAAAATTTACTTAAATATTAAAAACAAAATTACATCTTTGATAAATGTTTCTTAATTTGATATTTCACTCAATGATTAACATTTTACTTATCTAAAAGTCTACACAGTCTTTCTATATTTTCTTAATATATTTCGTAATCATTTGATGACATATAAAAGAAAGAGAGAAAAAAAGATAAAATAAGAAAATAAGGAATCGCGTAGGCGTATCATCATATTACGACATCATTCGCTAATTGATGATCGTTATGTTAATCGACATAGTTTAAAACAGGCCAACAAAAACATTCATTATCGTGTGGAAAAATTTGCGATATATCCTATTCAGATGCATCAAATCATGAATCATCAACAGAATAAAGTGAACCAAGAAACAAAATAAAAAAAGGAATAAAAAAAAAGTATCTATTTTTATCATCAACGAATGGATTTTTATTATAAATAATTCTGAAATTAAAAAAAATAAATAAATAAATAAAAGAAAAAAAATTAAAAGAACAATCTACATTATTATTTAATGAGTCGATAGTCTATTTTCTTGGATTTTTTTTGCTTTTTTTTTAAATGATAATTTTTCAATTTTATCAATATTATGTTGAACGTGTAAAAACATAAAATTATACATATGTATTCACATTTATGCAAATAAATTGCATAAGTTTTGAATGATTCAGTTTATGTGATCTGCATATAGTTAATGCATTATACAATCACGCATATTGTAATTAGAAATTAGTAATGTTATCACATACTAATATTTTCCTTTGTTTGATCATTGAATAACATCATTTTTTTCGTTTTTTCTGCGGATAATAATATTAAATTATATATTGATTTCGATGAAGAATAAAAAACATTAAAAATTTACTCTAAAAATAAAATATTTACATAAAAATTATAATAATGAATTAAGTGATTTTTAAAAGTTTGTACGAAAAAAAAATTTGAAAGTCATTATGAAATTAATGTCGATAAAATTATTATCATGATTGAAATCTTAGCAAAAAATCTTATGACGATATGAATTTGCTACTTTTAATTTCTAAAAATAGATAAATGTGATATCATATAAATATCTTATGATGATTGTTTAAATGAAAGATACTTTAAAAGAAGAAATAATGAAAAATACATTAGTTCTTATAGTTTCAATTAACACATTGTTATAAATATATAATAGATTGTGGATTTTTATGCAAATACATATTTTTCATATAACATATATT